AAGTGCTGGGATTACAGGTGTGAGCCACCGCGCCCGGCCTTTTTTTTTGTTTTGTTTTGACAGGGTCTTGCTCGCACTGTCGCTCAGGCTGGAGAGTACAGTGATGCAGTTGATCATGGCTCACTGCAATCTCCACTTCCCAAGCTCAAGTGATCCTCCCACCTCAGCCCCCCGAGTAGCTGGGACCACAGGTGCACACACACCACCAAGCCTGGCTAATTTTTAAAACTTTTGTAGAGATAGAGTCTCGCTATATTGCCCCAAGCTGGTCTCAAACTCCTGCTCTCAAGCGACCCTCCCACTTCAGCCTCCCAAAGTGCTTGGATTACAGGTGTGAGCATCCACACCCAGCCAGGATTTCTTAAGGATGCTGGAGTGTGGGCAGCCAGCTCCATCTCTGAAACTTTGACCCTTCCCCAAATCGCAATCATTTTATTCCTTCATCAAAGAAAAAAAAGAAAGATGACTTACTAGACACTTGTTAAGGCACACACCACACACAAAACTGCAGTATAGCAGGACAGATGGTAACCAAGAGAGAACTCAGGATCTGTCACTACCAGCTGGAAACACCTGACCTCCAGCCTGCAAATGTGACAAGCTGGAACAACACCAGCAGGACACTGAACACAGCTTGCACGGTTGAGTCTCTGCGTCATTTCTGGACATGTGGCCAAGTAACCAGAACAACTTGAAATGGCACCAAGCCTTTGCTGTCATTCCCATAAACCTCTAACAGTGAGCTGGGTCTTGGGTCTTCAAAGAACCTGTCTCTGTCAGCTTATCTTATGCTGTGTAACAAACAGGCCCAAAGCTCTTGGTGGCATACACCAAGCATGGTGGATCTCTCACTCACCACGATGGCCCCTATGCTGGAGGGCTGGGGTTGTGCTCCATTTTCTCTTTTGGAAGGAGCAGCCCCTGTCTGAGATCTCACTTGTCTCACAGCAGAGGGATGAAATGGCAGGACGCTGGCTTTGACGGGCTCCATTCAGCAATGGTACATGCCAAGTGGGTTACATTTCACTGCCCAGAGCAAGTTACATGGCCACGTCTGATATTGATGTGTGGGAAATGCAGAATCTTCCTGCAGTTGGGGAGGCAGATATTGGGACAATATGCAATTCATTACAGGGCCAGCTGGATGAAGAATGGCCAAGGGCCCAGGCTCTTCATCCCAAGCCAGGCCGAACCAGCCGAGGCCCTGAGATCAAGCCACGGTCATCAGTGTTCGTTTGGAATTATGCCTTGTCCTTGTTGCGTCCACATTGTAGTAGGGTTTCTGTTTTTTAATTCATCTGAAATTGGTGGTTGGTGTGGTCCACAGATGAGAAACAGGAACTCTCAACACTGCCCTTCAACAGGAGCTGCAGTGGGAACACAAATGGTGCAGCCACTTTGGAAGACGGTTTGGTGGTTTCTTACAAAACTAAATGTACCCTTCACATATGATCCATCGCACACCATCCAGCAATTGTACTCCTTGGTATTTGCCCAAATGAGTTGAAAACTTGCATCTACACAAAAACCTGCGCGTGGATATTGATAGCAGCTTTATTCATTATTGCCAAAACCTGGAAGCCTTCAGGAGGTGAGTGGCTAAACAAACTGTGGTGCATCCAGTCAGTGGAATATTATTCAGTGCTAAAAAGAAATGAGCTCAAGTCATGGAAAGACATGGAAGAACCTTAAGTATTACTAAGTCGAAGAAGCTGATCTGAAAAGGCTGATGCTGTATGAGTCCAACTCTATGACATTATAGAAAAGGCAAAACTACGAAGACAGTAAAAGGATCAGTGGTTGCAGGAGTTAGGGAGGACGGAGGGATGAATAGGTGGAGCACAGAGGATTTTGAGGGCAGTGAAACTACCTTGTACGATACTGTAATGGTGGATACAGGACAGTAAGCATCTGTCCAAACCCATAGAATGTACAGCACTGAGAACAGACCCTCATGTAACCTAGGGACTTCAGTTAATAATATTGAATCAAAAAATAGCAAACAATAAAACAGTGCTCTTCAGACACCATCACCTGCTGTGTCACCTGCTGGGAGCTGGAGGAGGGGCTTCCTAGCCCCTTCTGTTTTAAAGGCTAGGCTGGTGCTTGGCTCAGCTCTGTCCTCCCCTAACACTAACCACCTTTGTATGCACCACAGCCCACTGGAGGGGTTTTCTGATGTCACCTCCCCAGGTGGAGAAAGCACCTGCAGCAGGGACCTTCTGTCTCTCTATTCATTGCTAAGTCTCTGGTGCCTGGAACAGGGGCTGGCATGCTGGAGCTTGGAATGTTTACCCAGCCCAGTGCCTCTGGATGGCCACAGTGCCGTTCTGGTCCCCTCACCCCCTTCCCTCTTGCTGGCGCTCCTCCTTCCTCACCTGGCAGCTGAGATGCTTCTACCACTCCCTGCTTTAGTCCCTCTGGGGCTCCCCACTGCTGGCTGATGAAATCCAACCTTTGGCACTAGTCCATCAGGCCCGGGGAGGTACAGGAGACCAGTAGGACAGGGCAGGGAAGGAGGAGGCCCAGCAGGCACACCCAAAAGACACCCTTACACTACACCGTATGTATGCCCGTGTGCCGGCCTCACATGCACCAGCAGGCCAGGCCCACCAAGGTCCCCTGGCACCAGCAGCCTCCCCTGCCTCATCTGTCCTGCCTCACCCTCATCCTCTGGCTCCAACACATCCACCCTTCTCCCTCACCACCTTCATCTGGACTGTCTGTAGATTAACGGAGCAACTGCCTGTCTTCCCAGCCCAGTCCGTGGGACAGGATAGTGCAATGGTTTCCAGGCCTGGTCCCAGAGCACCCCAGCCCAACATCCCTCTGCCCTGCCAAGGTCAGCAGCATGACCTCAGGTGGATTACTCCATGCATCAGTGTCCTCTTCAAACAAGGAACATGGTGGGACCTGGCTGAAGTTTAGCACATGCCTGGCACAGGGAAAAGCCATTGCTATGTGCCTGGCGGTCCTGGTGTCATAGTTCATATGATGATCGTGGATCCCCAGTGGAGCTGGGGTGTGACTCCCACACGGCCGACCTATGAGTGCTCTGGCCGCCAGCCGGTGCCTGTGTTTTCAGCTTGGATGAGGCCTGGGGGCTGGGACGCATGCTCGTATCTGCTCTTCCCCAACAGCACGGATGAGAAGAGAGCTTTGCAAACAGTGCCATCGGGTATTATTTCCATGGCTGTCCCCACATGAGAATCACATAACACAGCACTGGAAAAAACCCTGGACATTTCTCAGCCCAGATGGGGAAACCGAGGCCCCCAGAAGGAAAGGCCAGCTTGCCTGGGTCACATGTGCCCAGAGTCCCACCTGTGACTAGCAGCCCACGGAGGGTGGTGGCCTGTGGGTCCCTGAAGCCAGCTCCTGCCCTGGGGAGAAACTCCTCCTGAGAAATGGCACTGGGCCTCACCTTCACGTCCCCACAAAGCCCTCACACTGCTTTTGAAAAAGCTACCCTTGAGTGACAAGAGGGTGCTGGGCAACCACATGTCCCTTGCCCAGGGGCCAGGACTGTGAGAAGTCAAGCAAGGTAGGAGCCCCACCAGCCCCGGCTGCAGCAGGAGCCCTGGCAGCAGATGCCACTGTGGATGATGAGGATCCACCCTAGCAGATCGGTCACCAGAAACAGTTAACTCAGGTTACCCTGTGCACCCACGAACTGCCTGCCAAGCACCCGGTCCAGCCTCCTCCCAGGCCAGGGCAGAAGGCACTGCCACCCTCCTTTATCTCAGAAGGGAAAGGGCTTTGTGCTGCTCACACAGGTGAATGCTGCGGTTTCTCCACTGGGGAGAGGTTTGAAGGTTGAAGCCAGGTCTACATGGGTCTGGTCCCTCGTTACCATCGGCTGAGGGTCCCTGTTGCTGAGGCAAAGCAGCGGGACCTGCCACTCTCAGGTCCCAGGGGCATTTCCCAGAGTCTGGCCCCAGCTGGGCCTCGAGGCCAGCCCCTTCGCCCTCCTCGCCCAGCCCTTCCAGGCAGCTGGGGAGGCTCAGTTAATTATATGTCTAAATACATCTCGAGCATCTCAAGTTGAGCCCCCCCTTTGTCCCTGACCCAGTGCGGGGCCGGGGGGGAGGGAAGTCAGCAACTGTCACGTAGGGCCCCATGAGGGTCCACCAGCTCTTTTCTTCTCCTAGCCCAAGGCACCAGCAAAAACACTGCTAGCTGTTCTGTTTTTGCTATTTTACGTCACCCTTTCCATTGTAAGCCATAATTTTCAGAGGTTTATAGGTCAGCTATTAAAAAAATAATAAACGTCTCTTTTACCAAGAGGGAGCGCTTTGAAACTAGTCGGCTGGTAGGGCCGACAGTGTGGGTGCACAGGGAGGCACACAGCCTCGACTTCTTCCACCAAAGCCTGGTCATCAGAAACCACCCCTCCCCATGCCCTCCTGGTTCCAGGGCACCACCCCTTTGTGTTCTCATTTCTCCCTCCCCTCAGAGGCTTCGAGGCTGCCCCCCTCCACTGCAGGTGTGACTAGACCTTGAACATTTTGGCTGTTTTGACCTAGGGAGACCCTGGTGCAAGGCCTGAAGAAAAGTCTGTAGGACTGGATGTGTCTTGGTGGAGTCCTGCTCCCCACCCTCTACCCCAGCACATCCTCAAACTAGCAGGGTCCTGAGCCCATCAGCTGGGGGCAGAGGGATTTCTCATGGTTTCCTTTAAACAAGCCTGAGTCTGGGCAGCAAGTCAGGGGCTGTGCTCCCTGCCTGCTGGGGCTATGTGAAGCCCACGCTTGTCTTTCTGCAGCCCCGCAGGTGGGAGGTGATAAATGCAGGGTGCACTGCAGGCCGGCCGCCCCTCCTGAGATAAGGGAACTGGAGCAGGTGGATTTGGGCCAGGCCCAGCCAGGAGAGAGGCTTCCCCTTTTGGATGGCCTGGGGATGCCCACTTTGGCCTGCTCTCTCTTGCGTTCTAGCTCTCCAGCTTTTGGGGGTGCAGGAGAAGGGAGCTGGAGGCAGGCATAAGCACAAACAGACTGGAGTTGCAGCATTTTTCGGCCTCTTTATTTAGAACCCGGCGGACGAGGGGCCGGGGCAGTGGTACAGACGGCTCAGGAACCATTTTAACAGATTTGTCTTCAAGTTTAAGATAAACACAGTAATAATAAGAGAGCGAGCGAAAGCGCGAAGAGACTGCAAGCTAGATGGGCATGTATGGCAGCTACAGCTTGTGAGTGACCCCTTTCCCCAGAGTCCGCGATGAAAATAAAGTTACACTTGTCAATAACCGGATGTGGGAGATGGATGGTGCCTTTGGCATAACCAATAACCAAGCTAGTGCGTGGCAGAGCGGTCCACGCCTGGACATAAATAGAAAATATAAGTTAGTATAACTTTAAAAACTTTTTGTACAAATATACATGGTTTTTTTATTTTTTCCTTTTTTTTTTTCTTTTTTCTTTTTTTTTGCACTGAGTTTCAGCAGAGATTAAACATTTTATATAAATGACTCTTAAAGCTTTACACCTTGGGACCAGTGTACCTTCTCGTGCAGAATACATTTAGATATAAAAAGACGTTATTAATACATTGCACAGTTTTCAAAATTTAAACACAAAACCGAACGCTGCTCTGCGGCAGCCGCCGCCGGTTGCTGCTACATGAACGGTCCCAGCCGAGGCCCAGCGCCCTTCCAACGTCCGCTGCCCCGGCAGGTTCCCTCGGGGCTCTTTGGGCTCTAAACTGCGGGGAGAAGGGCGGTCAGGAAAGCCGGCGGGGACCCCGCGGGTCAGCCCCCCGCGCCCCCCAGGTGCGCTGTACTCACTTCGCTCACCGCAGCCTCTTGCGCGGGGTCTGCTCCACCGAGCCCACTCCAGGGGCGGCGCTGGGAGCGGGACACGGCGCGGGGACATCGCCCGACGACTTCTCAGGCGCTGATCTCTTGCGCTTGGCGAAGAAATCTGCGGGCGACAGCGCGCGCGGCCGGTCAGGGCGGGGCCGGCCCGGAGCCCCGAGAGGCGGCCAGGAGAGGGCACGGGGCGCGGGCCGGCCGGGGTGGGGGCGCCGTCCCCGCCCGCGCCGAGGTCCGCGGCGGGTCAGCTTTGTTTACGTCGCCGCGCAATGTGCTGTGTAAGCATTTCCCCTTGTCCCGCGGCCAAGCCCCCCGGGGCCGCCGCCGCGCTTAACCCCCTCCGCGCCGTGCTCACGGCGCCCGGCCGCGCCCGGGGAGGGGCTCCCGCGCCAGGGGCGAAGACCGCGCTCCCGGGGGGTCGCGGCCGGGACTCAGCCTCCCACCCCGCCCGCGCAAAGCCGCTGGAGGACATAACAACGGGGCGGGGAGGGGGGTGCGGGCGCAGCCGCGCCCTGAGCGCTGCGGGCCCTTTAATGCCACGGGAGGAGGCGGGAACCCAGCGAGGCCCCCGAGGGCTGGGGGGACCGGCCGGCCGGACAAAGCGGGGCCGGGCCGGGCCGGGGCGGGGCCGTGCGGGGCTCACCGGAGATCAGAGGCCCGGACAGCTTCTTGATCGCCGCGCCGTTGGCGCTGGCGGCCGCGGTGCCGGCCGCGGGACGTCCCGAAATCCCCGAGTGCAGCTGGTCAGCGAGAGGCTCCTGGCCGCGCTGCCCCTGGTTCGCGCCCTGCTCGGCGCTCTCTTGAGGCGCCGCGTCCTGGGCCGGGGCCGGGGCCGGGGCCGGCACGACTGGGCCGGGGCTGGGGCGCCGGGGCCACGGGAGCTGGAGGCCCGGGCCGGGCCGAAGGCCGGAGCCGGGGCCGGGGCCGGGGCCGGGGCCGGGACCGGGGCCAGGACCGGGGCCGGGGCCAGGACCGCGACCGCGACCGGAGCCGCAACCGGAGCCGGGGCCGGGGCTGGAGCCAGGACCGGGGCTGGGGGCGGGGTGGACGGCGGGGCCGGGACCGGGACATTAGGCAGCTGCTCCGGCGCCTCCTCGAGGCCGTCGAGGGACTCAGCGGCCGGCTCGAGGGGCGGGCTGACAGCCACCGCGACCGCGACGGGCCGCGGCGCCAGCAGCAGGCGGCAGCGCCCCACCTGCACCGTCTCGCGGTAGAACGCGGGCACCGAGTCGCTGTCCACTTCGGTCCACTGCAGGCGTCCTGGGCCCCGCAGCGGCATGTCCTGCTGGAAGTCGTAATCCCAGCGGTTCTGGTCCTCGGCGTTCAGCTCGGCCAGGCGGGCCTGCAGCTCGCGGCTCAACTCCTCGTGGTCCACCGGCCCGAAGAGGCTGCGGCAGGCGCTGGTGCGCACAAGTACTGGGAAGGTCCCACGGGCGACAAGACGCTCCATCGTGGATGTGCTGCGGAGGGACGCGTCGGACATGGCCCGGGGCTGCGCGAACGCGGGCAGCGAGAGAGGAGAGGACAGCGAGAAGAAGGGGAAAGGAGAGGAGGAGAGGGCGGAGGCCGGGTGCAAGGGAGACCCCGCGCCGCCCGACTCTGCGTGTGCGAGGGACGCGGCGGCTACCTGGCTGTCCGGTGGTGGACTCTCCTGCGTCGGGTTCGTCTGTCTCGTTCGGCAGGCAGCCGCGCCCCCTCGATGCCTGCTGGCTCGCTCGCTGGATCAGACCTGGCTGGCACCCCTCGAGCACAGCGCACTTGGCCTGTGGAACGCCCAGCCCGCCTGGGCCCCCTTTATACGCGCGGGCCCCACCCCCGTGCGCGCGGGCCCGGCCGCGATTAGCATAATGTAGTATTTTCAGTTTCAACAACACCGCGGCGATTGGCTGCCTCCCCGCTGCCCCGCCCCTCCGCGGCCCGGCCCCAGAGCACCGCCCATTGGCCGCGCGCACACCCACCGGGGGAGGGGCGGGGCGCGCGGCCGGGGCGCGCGGCTGATTGGCGGCCGCGGGGCGAGCGCGCTGTAGCAGGGGAAGGGGGCGGTGAGCGGGGCGGGGGCGGGAGTTAAAGGGCGCTGCGGGCGGTAACGTGACACCGCGACGCCCCGCCCCCTCGCCCCATCCCCCCTGCAAACCCCCCCCCCCCCTCCCGCCCCCCGCCGGCTCCTTTGTCTGCAGGCGGGGGCCTCAGCCCTGCGCGGCAGGGGCCGGCTCCCGGCGGGTCCAGTGTCCGGCCAGGCCCAGCTCGACCCCGGCCCGGTCCGGACCCCAGCTCCTAGCTCCGTCCCGCGCTCGCCCCTGGGCCTCCTGCGCCAGCTGACAGGGCTTGGACCCGCCGCTGCCAGCTCGGCCCTGGCCTGCGCCGGATGGGGTCTTCGGCTGCCCCCGCGCGGCCTGCTGCTGCTGGGCTGGTGTCCTTTCGAGGGCTCCGCGCACCTGGAGCCCTCACACACCTGCTGGCCCTAAAGCCCTCGAGTCGGGAGGGAGGACAGGGGTCAGCTCCACTCTTTCCCCGAGGGACCATGTGTGGGACACCTTGAGAGACTCCCACCAGCCCCCTGGAGCTGGAGCCTGAAGCTGCTATCTGCGGAGGCCCACCCTGCCCAGTAGATGGAACAGAGGCTGAGCCCATCATGTCACTGTCGGGGGTCCCAGCCCTTCTCAGCCTTGGGCCGGACCACTCCAGCCCCGGAATCTGCCTGTCCAGGCTAGCTGGAGGCAGTTGTACTGGGTAAAAGTGAAAGATCTGCCGGAGGTCACAGGGGAAGGGGCTGTGAAGAAGCATGCCCCTCCCCCGCCTGCAGCCCTTCCTGGTACAGACCTTGGTCGTGCGCACACGCACACACACACGCGCGCACACACACGCGCGCACACACGCGCGCGCGCGCGCACACACACACACACACACACACACAGTGCTTCACCCCAGCCAGGCCAGACCAAGAGAGACCATTATTTCCCGCTGCCTCCCTTTTGACCCACTTACCATGAGGCAGGAAGCCCCTCCTGAAACCGGGAGCCCCCCAGGTCGGGAGGGGGACTGTCAGACACCTGTTGGAGGGTCCAGCAGCCCATGAGCTCTAAGCCCCTATCTCAGGTGAGCCTGTGAGCCAGCCAGAGAGACATCTGGGAGGGAGGGAAGGTGAGGTCCCCTGAACCCCAACCAGCCTTCCTCTGAGTCCCAAGACACCCCCACCCCCATGAAATGCTGTGACATCGTGCAGATGCAGCTGGGGGAGCAGGGCTGGTCTTCTGGGTCTTGGGGAAGAGAGAGCTGAAGTGAGGGGGGCGAACTGGACAGGACAGGGTGTTAACCCAGGAGAGGGGCCAGAGCCACTCTTGGCTCTTGGCAGAACCAAACGCGACAATTTATGTTAATTTCATATTCTTCTCTGCGCACAATTTACAAATTTCCTGCAACAAGCACAGATGTCACAATTTTCATCTTAGGAAAACAAAGAGAAGCTGAAGAAGGCTCCCCAGGCCTTGCGAACCCATCAAGCAGGGCTGATATCAACTGGCCTGGGGGCAGAAAGAGGCAGAGTCTAGTCTGCTCCGTGCCCCTGTGCCACCACCTCCCCAGAGACTAGGAGCAAAGGGCCAGAGTGGGTAGTGACCTAGTGGCGCCTGGATACCCACACTCCAACCATCAGGACTAATTGGCCCTGGTGACACCCCTCAGAGGGTGTAGCTACCATCATCCTGTGTTAGAGAAAATCAGCAGAGACTCCGCGTCAGCCGCGGAGGCCGCACAGCTGGAAGGAAGCAGGCTCGGAACTCCCAAGCTGCCTGGCTTTCTGGTTTGGTTTCCACTTAGGTTTCCTACTTTTATTTTTCCACTTTACCAGCTTAATTACAGAGTCAAACCCAGTGCTGTGGGGACTCCTCTGTCTTGGCTTCATTAGAAGGCGAGAAGTGACCTGCTCTAAGTCTGTCACTCTGAATTTGATCAAGGATGGTACCTAGTAGCTTATTAAACCTGCACATCCCAGGAGCAGGACTGCATCCCCCCAGCCTGAGCCAGGGACACACCTGGAGGAAGGCACCCCAGGAGCTGGGGGCTGGGAGTTCCAGGCTCTGAGAGGAGGCCCAATGGGCCCAGAAGCAAGCAAACATCTGTCTGGGTGACAATCAGGCTCTATTTTTGTAATTAAAAATGTATCCAAAGGGAAAAAAGAAACAAAAGGAACAATATTTGTACTCTATGTTGCTGCAGAGAGCAGAACTGCGGAGGGGGTGCTGGTCCCAAGGGGTGGGCTGGGCTGTGCTAGTGCCCCAAATCCTGCAAGCGCAGGAGTAGGGGGGGCCTCTGAGGGGGGTCGTGAGTTCCGGGCCCTTGTGTGCATGTTCACGTCCTGTCATTCTTGCCCCCAGCGGAGAGAGCAGCAGAGGAAAGGCAGTACATCCACCAGCCTTTGCATTCTCCTCGGAGCACACAGACATTTTCCTGCTATCTTGCACACAAGTGGGCCGCGGGACTCGTTTTGGCCGGGAACGTTGTCAGGAACTCTGTACACCACTTCCAGGCGGTCACGTCCAAGCGGCCCAGGCAGTCAGTCCTTCTGCGCCCTCTGCTGGCCAGATGGAGGCTCCAGACCCGGCGGGGCCATCAGGAGAGAACAACCGAGTGCCCTCTGCTCACTGCATTGCCTGTGTTGGGCACAAAGAATGAACTTTTATTGCATCTTAACCCACTAGAAATGTAGGCTTGTCCATCACAGTGGGGTGTTACATACCCTAATATGTAGGGAAGGCATAGGTAGATTTCAGTTGGCCTTTTACAGATAAGGAAACCAAGGCTTGAGAAGATTCAAACCTTTCTGCAGCCGGGGCTCACACCTACACTCTCAATACTTTGGGAGACCAGGGCGGGTGGTTCGCTTGAGCCCAGGAGTTCCAGACTAGCCTGGGCAACATAGAGAAACCCCATCTCTACAGATATTTTAAAAATTAGCTTGGTGTGGTGGCACGTGCCTGTGGTCCCAGCTACTTGGGAGGCTGAGGTGGGAGGACTGCTTGAGCCCAGGAGGTCAAGGCTATAGTGAGCCGTGATTGTGCCACTACCCTCCAGCCTGGATGACAGAGCGAGACACCCTCTCAGAAAGAAGAAGAAGAAGGAGAAGGAGAAGGAGACGACGAAGAAAACAACTTGCTGCACAAGCAGCTAAGGCAGGATTAACCTGCAGCCCTCACTGCTTTGTGTTCCTGCTAGGAAAGGCCCAGAAGCCAGAGAAGCCTAGGTCCCTATCCTGGTGGATCTTCGTGCTGGAGTCATTAAACCAGCTATTTCCCAGGGGCCACCCATGGGCCAGTCCTCACCACAACCTCATGGGTGGTCAGTCAATGTTGTGGGCCCACTTTACAACCGAGGAGACAGAGGCTTCCAGAGGCAAACACACTGGCCCATGAGTAGCAGAGCCGGGGTGGGCCCAGGAAGCCCTGTCCTTAGCCACGTGTGGTTTCTGGCGGGTGACCTCCACTCCAGTGCCTCCCTGGCTGCCTGAGGCCTCCTCTTCCCGGGTGTGGCAGCTGTACAGCTGCCTTGTCGGCATGTTCATGGCCCCATCAGGAATGTGTGCCGCAGGTGGCTTCACAGGGCTAAGAATGCCTGTCCTAGGTCAGGCCCAATCCCTACCCAGAGCCCCAGGGAACCCAAATTCTGGGACACAGGACACCCGGCCGGCGGGCCAATAGCCCCTATCAGGAAGTGACCAAGGACAGGCCGGGAGCTTTTCTCTTCCCTCTGACCCATGGTGAAACCTGCCTCGGGCCTGTTCCCTGGGTTCTGAGGCCCTGAGCTATCTGTCTTCAAACAAACGAAGGCCTCAAAGAATGTTCTATTGAGCCATGGGCCCCATATCATCCATCAATCACAGAGGGCTGGAGAATGCAGGCACAGGGTCAAGGTGGGTGGAAGGTGAGGGCTGGACACCACCTGAATCTGTGCTGATCCAGGGCCCACTAGAGTCTCCGGGTACCCGGAGCCTGCCCTCAGCAGCACCACCCTCCCGCAGCACCCCAGGGATCCTGCAAGAGGTGTCTGTGCCCTTCCCGGCTGCCTCCCCAGCTGCTCTCCAGCTGGTGCCCTTTGGAGAGGGATATGATAAACAATGACAACACTCGCTGGCTTCATCTTGTTCCTGCTCAGGGCCCTGCCCTAACCCAGGGTTAAGCTCATTGCCTCATTTAATCCTTCCGAGACCCCTGAGAGGGAGGTGTGCTCATGCCCATTTTGCAAGGGACGGGACTCAGGCTCCCAGAGGTTAAGCCACCTGCCTGAGATCGCTGAGACTTGAGGTTGGCTCTGCCTTTCACCCAGCCTGAGCGCCTCCATAGGACTTCTGTGCGGGCACAAGAAAGCAGGAACGGAAAGAAGTCAAGGGCCCTGGGAATCTCCCCTGACATCCCCCACCCCAAGCACTAGAGCCAGGGCTGGGCATCTGTGCAGGGCATAACCCTGCCCAGGGATGCCTGACTCTGGAAAGGCCACCCCTTTGGCCTCAAACCACATCACCCAGCAGCAGGTCCTCAGACCAGCCCTGGACAGGAGCTTGACTGGCTCTGCCCCCAAAGGCCGGAGAGACCCCTGCCCCCGCTGAACCTCCACCTTCCCATCCATTAGATGGGGTGGGGAGTCATCCAGCCCAGAGGCCCCAGGGGCATGGGGAGTGACAGATTAACCCAAGGCCCCCCCTCCCGCAACAGGCAGCTCAGCACAAACTTGGCGGGGGGCCATGCTGGGCCAGAAGAGCTCCCCCGCACCAGTTTCCCGCGCAAGGCTCACCCCGCCCCCCAGGACAGGCTGTTCTTGGAGCGG